GTTGTGGGGTTGTTAACCAATGTCATAAAACAACATGTGTACTACTGTTTCATGAGAAACTATTTGTTCTGTAAGCCTTCACCTGAAGTACTATAAAATACAAAAAAAAAAAAAAGAATATGACCACCTTGGCTATACTTTTTAGAGAAGCTTAAATGTTAAAAATAAAATAAAATCATCACCTAAAATGCAGCAAATTTTCAAAAACTAGTTGTTTCTTCCATGTTACCGCCATATAGTTAACAAGCAGAGAAGTGCAACTGATTAACTCGGGTCTCTGGCTTCCTGGAGTGGTCTTCCCTCCAGGCTACATCTATGAAGGAAATGCATGAACACCTCAGCACAAATGCATTACCTACTCAAAGTGTACGGGCTCCAGGCAGGACCAGCTGTGGTTGATCTTCAGCACTGTCTAAGTAGACATGACTGTGAAATCGTCTTTTCAAGTTAATGTTATAAGTGATAGAGACGGAATTATACTCACAAGAAGACCTGAAACATCAGAATACTTCTTAGCTGGTTTAAAGGACGGAGGAGCATCAATACTGAAGTCTGGAGGGGAAAAAAAGAAAGATGACTGAACTGGCTGAAAACATCCGAATCCTTTATCCTTTTTTCTAATACTGTTGAACAATACTCCTGAAATTTTTACTTTGTGATTAAGTACCCACAGAGTTCTCTGGGGATTAACCAAGAAGTAAGGGAGGAGTCTTAGGAATTAAGCAGTACGTCATAAACCAGATGTGGGGTCCGGATCCAGCCCTGCCCTATCACCATGGGCCCTCAACTCCAGCAGAACCGCTAGAAAGCCTATCTGCCCACAAGCTCCTTGTTCGTCTCAGGCTCTGTGGGGTGATGGTGATGACATGCTAAACAACCCACTAATTGGGCCCAAGGATCCAGACACCTACATGTCCACACTTAGACAGATGACTCACCTGTCACCAGCCTGAGTCACCCCCATGGAAGATGTGCAGTGGGACAGATAGGAGAAACCTTGTACCTGTCCTGTTCATTAATGTTGAACAGAACACATAACAGTGTTCTACACAGATTTAGACATACCGCAGCATAAAGCATTTACCCTGAAAAACACTGGCTCATTGAGGACAACAGGAGTTAGCCTTTAAGCTGGCTGATAGAAACCCTCCTAAATCTGGCGTTTACACTTAAGCTTCTCTGTTCTTGGAAACAAATTTTAAGAGCAGACTTTTGAATAAAAAGTTTGTCTAACAGAAACACTAATATTATCATATCAGGACCCATTTCTCCAGATTAAAAAGTGAACAGTGACCCTAAAAACCACACATCCATGCAACACAAACACACAGATTCAACACAGACAGTTATGAGGAAATATACACATACTATCCCCAGACTGATGCCACTGGAAATTCTCAAGCTAAAAATCGTTTTCCTCTACTAATGTAAACACAAGAAAATAATGTGGGTTTGTGACAACAAAGTTCCCAGTGTGAACATTATAAACATGTGGAACGCTCTAGGTGGCTCACAGTTAGGATCGTTCAGTTGCCATGGCAATGCCCTTTCAGAAGCGAGAATTTGTTTCAGGTTCTTCCAGGTTCTGTTCTTCTTGCCAGCTACTGCGCCACCGTGGCCAGAATGCTTGAATTAAAAGCAGGGGTTAGAAGAAATAAAAATCAATGGAGACTGCCATTTGAGAATCTGACATTTATGCTTAATCATAACCGTAATATACTCCTCATTCTGTCAGCAATCATTTGTACCCCTAGGACTTTAAGTATTACATTATATACTTTAATCTTAGTTATAAAAAATAAAGCTTTTGGATTGTAAAAATCCATGAGTTGGTGAGGGAATAGAAATAAAAGCCTGCTTTTCTATATGCACGTAGAAAATTAAATCCTTTCTTGGATCTAACCTTGTGGAATTCACTCATGAATTTCCCATCATTTTAAAAATAAATTTACTACAAAGTTAGATTTAAACTCATGACCGCATCTCTAAACTCCCCTCTAGGGGCAAGGCTCTGCCTTGTAAATTAAGGTAACTCTGGAAAACCCATGTAAGCCTCAATCATGGCATGGCAAGCCTTCCAGAAATCTTATTTTTTTGGTCCCATAAAGATGGCAAAATAAAATGGAAAAGAATAGCAGAATCTGTTGCAGGCACTGGTAATACTATATTTTCAAAACTGATTAATGAACAATAAACTTTAATGGTGTAATCTGAATTGCTGTAATTTATCACACCTCTCAAGAATGAAGGGAAGAGAACCCGATTTCTACTTTACAATTTACTTAAAGAAACTAATGAAGAGCCTCATCTAAAATGTATGTAAGGCCAGTGAAGAGAGAAGGGGACAATCACCACAGAAAAGATCCGCTCTCAGAATAGCACCCTCTAACAAATTCCACAGAAGGCACCAAAATCCCTGGGAACTGACACACTGGAAGATCAACAGGAAAGACCCTTCCTCTCTTGCCCCCTCCCTTCCCATACCAGCCCATGGGGGAAAAGGTGGCAGTTAAGGCTGGGATAGAAAGGGACACCAGTGCTACCTCAGCTGTGGGCCCAGCAAGGTCAGATTCTGAGGTGTGTGTATTTGGGTTTTTATATCTAAAATACCTTAGATGCTTACCACAAAGTTGGGATCCTTAAATGGCAAAGGCTTGGCAGCTCTTTCCACTGGTCCTGTGCTAAAATCAGAGGGCAGCATTTTATTCTCACTTATGGCTTCCATGCTAATGCCCTGAAAACAGAGTAAGAATGGTTAGAGGTCAGTTTCTTTTAGCTACATTCCCTAACTCTGCTCTCAGTAAGACAGAAGATGCAAGCACATGCAAGGGAAGACAGCACACCCAGAGCCCAGCAGGTGCTGTGTGCCAGAGAAGGGCATGCCAGACTGCGTGCAGCACCCTCTGTGCAGAAGCCACAGGAGACTGTCAGGAACCATGGCCGCCATGTTTCCCAGCTCCGTATGTGCCAAGCACAGGGTGGCTATCTCACTCGAGCTGGCTCATTTAATTCTGACAGCCACTACAAAGTGGATGCTATTATCCTTAGTTTACAGAAAAGGAAAGGAGGCAGGTTCAAGGCCACACAGTAGTTGACCTTGGGATTTAAAACCAGGTCGGGCCAATTCAAAAGCTCCCATCATCTCTCTAACACCAACATGGTCCCTACCCCTGCTGATGTCTGACTGTGTCCTGAAATATTAAGGCAAAAAAAGGCCAACCCCTTTAAGGGTCCAGTCAGCCACAGAACCCAGGCTGGAGCCAGCCTGCCTAAGGGGTATGGCAGGACGTGGGCATCCTGAGGAAGGAAAGTAGAGAAGAGGCTGCAGGGCCACGGGTCAGGTGGCTGTAGCCAGAGAGTGCCCAGAAGAAGTACATGAATATGCTTAAGACAAAAAATTATTTTACACTAACAATCACAAAGCAAAAACAAGCCAAAGAAATCCCTTCAGATTTGCAATGCAATTTCCAATCTTCCCAGGCTGCAATAATCTTTTAAAAATGATATCCCTATCAAGATATAGCACGTTTCCATCACCCCAGAAAGTTCTCTCATGTCCCTTCCTCATTAATACCCTCTACCCCTAGAAGCAACCATTGTTCCGATTTCTACCACATTACTTTAGCCTGTTCCAGAACTTTTTATACAGTACATGGAATCTTGACAGCATGTACTCTTGTGTCTGGCTTCTTTAGCTCAACATAAAGTTTCTGAGACTAGACACTGAGTTGTCCGTGGTAATCTTGGTTTTTCTGTTCTGATATGATGCTCACTGGTTAGTTCTTAGGATTGTTTCTCTCTCTCTCACTTAATTAAAGTTTCCCTGTAGGTCCTGCCTCCTGACAGTTCAAGGTCATTGGTTCCTTCCTTGCTGAGTAGTCTTGTGGACAACAACCCTTATGAGTTGCTGTCAGATTCATCAGGAGAATGGCCCTTTTCTTCTAAAAACTGGCAGGTTTCCTTAGACCTGCTCACCTCATGTCCCTTCCAGCCAGTGGACTTGGGCCTTCTCCTTTGCTCCTTAAATGAGTAGATGACTGTCACTCTTCTCGACCTGCATGCCAGCTAGAGTCCTCCTCAGGTGCCACAGAGTTAAGACCCTAGGCAGTGGTGTTAGCTTTCTCTTTTGTGCCAGAAATGCTCCAATACTGCATTTCTCCCTTTCTGTTTATGCCTCTTCCATGATTTCTAGTAGGGAAAGCCTCCTGGAAGGCCATAGCTGCTGTGCACACAGTGAAAGGGAAGGGGTACAGGGGGTTCTTTTTACACAGGCTTTTTGTTCCAAGGCTCCAGGGAGACCTGGGAGAACACTGTCAGGGAGAAATACCTCCTTGAGGCCATAAGAGTCGGGCAGGTGGAGCCTCCTCAGAGGTCACTAAGAAAAGTAGGTACCTTAGCAAGTCAGCATAGGGTTGAGAGTCTGGGAGCTCTGCCAACAGAGAGCACCCACCATGGGACAGGTGCATCTACTGAAAGTAAGTGGACGGTGGTGTGAGGAGAGGGTCAGAAGTCTACATTAGCGACTGTGGGTAGCAAGCTACAAAAGAGTTGAGAAGAAAAAGAAAATGCCTTTCAAAACAAACTCTTCCTGCTGGCATGCTTACTCAATTCTCTTCTCTCCCCTCTTGAGCAGGGTCAGATGCCCACTGGGAAGTCAAGCTGAAGGGAGGACAAAGAAAGGAAGCCCCTCAACATGAGCTGAGCCATATCATTCCAGAGCTGCATCCTGCCTCTGAGATAGTGGAGGGCTCTCTTCCCTCTCTATCTGGGCTCCAAAAAATACCCCCCACCTTAGGCCCAGAGCCAGGTTTTCTGCTCTTCTTTCCTCTTTATTCCCACCCATGTTACCATAGCCTCATTCTTCCCTTCCCCTCTGTCACAGCCAAGCTGAAACACCTGTGTCTATTCATGACAGGATGAGAGGGAGAGATCTTCTGCCAAGGAAGGATCAAGTCTGTGAGGCTTGGCTGCAATAAGATAAAATTAAAAACTGATGTACAGTTTCCATATTACTAAACCACTATTAATACTATGAGACTTCACGAGATGAACTGTCCCGCCCGAGACACGAACGCCCCAAGAAAATGAAAGGAGGTAACACCTAGTTGTAAGGGCTGCCCGCTCTGCGTAGCACTAAAAGAGCTGATGTAAGTCTCAGGGAAGAGAACGCCGGCCTGCTATCAAACACATACATGCCTGCCACTGAGACTGGTGTCAGTGAGGCCTGAGGTCTGCCCAACTGTAGACCAGTAAAACCAGTTGCTGTTGAGTGGACTCCGACTCATGACTATCCCACGTGTATCAGAGTAGAACTGTGATCCACAGGGCTTTCAATGTCTAATTTTTGGGAAGCAGAGTGCCAGGACTTTCTTCTGAGGCACCTCTGGGTGGACTGGAATTGTCAACTGTTCGGTTAGCAGCTAAATGCATTAAACATTTGCACCACTCAGGGATTCCCCAAACTGTAGAACCTCAGAAAAATGATTTCACCTGTCCAGATAGCAATTTGCATGACTTTTACTCAGACATAAAGATAAGGTGGGCATTCTGTCAAATTCCCAGATACAGTTACCAATCTTATTTTAGATTCAAAGAGCTGACCCTAGTCTAAAACTGCAGGGTTACTGAAGGATTACTTTAAACAGCAAAAATGTGAGATGCAACCTAAATATTCAATAAAGTCAATTAAATAAGAGCACCAATTCCTTGGAACATATTGCAGCCATTAAAAAGTCTAACTGATTCTCAACAACAACAAAATAAATAAAACTATATTTAAAACAAAGTCTAACTGAGAAGACTATCAACTAGAGAAATATTCATAAAATAATACTAAGTGAAAAACAGCATATACAGTGTTATATACCAAATACAATTATGAAAAACAATACATGCAGAAAACATATATTATAATAATTTTACAGAAAGAGACTGGGTGACTACAACTGGAACAAGATGAAAGAGAGCAGCAAAAGAAGCCCTCAGGCCCCAGAAGAAAGGACATAAGAATTAGAGCAGAAATAAATGAAATAGAGAATAGAAAAACAACTGAAAGAGTTAACAAGACAAAAAGCTGGTTCTTTGAAAAGATCAACAAAATTGATAAATCATTGGCCAAACTGACAAAAGAAAAACAGGAGAGGAAGCAAATAACCCATATAAGAAATCAGATGGGTGATATCACAACAGACCCAACTGAAATTAAAAGAATCGTAACAGAATACTATGAAAAGCTGTACTCTAACAGATTTGAAAACCTAGAGGAAATGGAAAAATTTCTAGAAACTCACTACCTACCTAAACTAACACAAACAGAGGTAGAACAACTAAATAAACCTATAACAAAAGAAGAGATTGAAAAGGTTATTAAAAAACTCCCAACAAAAAAAAAGCCCTGGCCCAGATGGCTTCACTGGAGAATTTTACCAAACTTTCAGAGAAGAATTAACACCACTTCTACTAAAGGTATTTCAGAGCATAGAAAAGGATGGAATACTCCCAAACTCATTCTATGAAGCCAGCATAACTCTGATACCAAAATCTGGTAAAGACACCACAAAAATAGAAAATTACAGACCAACATCCCTCATGAACATTGATACAAAAATCCTCAAGAAAATTCTAGCCAATAGAATTCAGCAACATATCAAAAAAATAATTCATCATGACCAAGTGGGATTTATACCAGGTATGCAGGGATGGTTCAACATAAGAAAAACAATCAACGTAATCCATCACATAAATAAAACAAAACACAAGAACCACATGATCTTATCAATTGATGCAGAAAAGGCATTTGACAAAGTCCAACACCCATTCATGATAAAAACTCTCAAAAAAAATAGGAATAGAAGGGAAATT